CTCCGTTTGACACCTCCTATTCCTGCCCGGGCACTGGACGGACACTTACTCGGATCGGTCACTCATGTCACGGCCCCGGTCTCGATGGGTCTGTCCGGAAACCATCAAGAAACTATCCAGTTTCACCTGCTCCCCTCTCCAGGCCAACCCCTCATCCTGGGTTACCCATGGCTCCGCCGGCACAACCCTCAGCTCGACTGGGTGACCGGGGTGATCAGGGAGTGGGGAGAGGACTGCCACCGAACCTGCCTGCTTGCTGCCGCACTACCCCCTCGGCCAGTACCTACTAACTCCGCTCCTGACCTCTCCAATGTCCCAGAATGCTACCATGGTCTCAGAGAGGTGTTTAACAAAGCAAGAGCCACATCTCTGCCCCCTCACCGACCGTACGACTGTGCCATCGACCTCCTCCCTGGAACAGCCCCTCCAAAGGGTCGTCTTTATTCGTTGTCTGCTCCTGAAAGAAAGTCCATGGAGGACTACATCAATGGCTCTCTGTCCGCAGGATTAATCCGTTCATCTTCATCTCCTGCTGGTGCTGGCTTCTTCTTTGTGGGGAAGAAGGACGGATCTCTTCGCCCCTGCATCGACTACAGGGGACTCAACGACATCACAGTGAAAAACCGTTACCCTCTGCCTCTGCTCACCTCTGCTTTTGAGTTGCTCCAGGGAGCCACTGTTTTTACCAAGTTGGATCTCAGAAACGCTTACCACCTAGTGCGGATCCGGGAGGGAGATGAATGGAAAACCGCATTCAATACACCAACAGGCCACTACGAGTATCTGGTTATGCCTTTTGGCCTCACCAATGCTCCTGCTGTGTTCCAGGCTCTAGTGAATGATGTACTGCGGGACATGTTAAACAAGTTTGTCTTCGTTTACCTGGATGACATCTTAATCTACTCCAGAAACCTGTCTGAACACACCCGCCATGTCCAGCAAGTCCTTCATCGTCTTCTGGAGAATTCCCTCTACGCCAAGGCAGAGAAATGTGAGTTTCACGTCAAGACAGTGGCCTTCCTGGGGTACATAGTGGCAGAGGGAAGTATCCAAATGGATCCTGCCAAAGTATCAGCAGTCACTTCATGGCCAGTTCCGGAGAACAGAAAGAAGCTGCAACAGTTTCTGGGGTTTGCTAACTTCTATAGAAAGTTTATCCGGAACTACAGTACCGTTGCTGCCCCTCTCACTGCTCTAACCAGCACCAAGCAACCCTTCACCTGGACCCCAGCAGCCGACAAAGCCTTCAGTACCCTCAAGGTGAGGTTCACCTCCGCTCCCATCCTCCAGATGCCTGATGTGGACCGGCAATTCATTGTGGAGGTGGACGCCTCGGATGTGGGAGTTGGTGCTGTGATTTCTCAGTGGGCTGCGGAGGATAGGAAGCTCCATCCCTGTGCCTTTTTCTCACGTCGGTTGTCCCCCTCTGAGTGCAATTACGACATAGGGAACCGTGAGCTGCTGGCTGTGAAGCTTGCCTTGGAGGAGTGGCGTCACTGGCTGGAGGGGTCCACCATTCCATTTCTCGTTTGGACCGATCATAAGAACTTGGAGTACATCCGCACGGCCAAACGGTTGAACTCCAGGCAGTCCCGCTGGGCCCTGTTCTTCACCAGGTTTAATTTCACTCTGTCATACCGGCCTGGATCACGCAACACCAAGCCAGACGCCCTCTCCCGTCAATTCCAGAAGGATGACACCCCCTCCAAGGACCCTGTGTCGATTCTGCCAAGTCCCTGCATCGTTGCAGCTCTGACCTGGGCTGTTGAGGAACAGGTGCTGGAGGCTCTCCGTAACCAGCCAGGTCCCAGCACTTGCCCAGCTGACCGCCTTTTTGTCCCCGAAGACCTGAGGTCCCAGGTCGTTCAGTGGGGACATGACTCCCGCCTAGCTTGTCACCCTGGCTCCACCCGCACTTACAACCTGCTCGCCCAGAGGTTCTGGTGGCCCTCTCTGAGGAAGGATGTACGGGAATTCGTCCAAGCCTGCCCCATCTGCAACCAACACAAGTCGTCCTGCCAGCCCCCAGCCGGATTGCTGCAGCCCCTGCCTGTGCCCAGACGTCCCTGGTCTCACATCGCCCTTGACTTTGTCACGGGGCTGCCCCCATCAAGTGGCATGACCGTCATTCTCACCATAGTTGACCGTTTCAGCAAGATGGCACACTTTATTCCCCTCCCCAAGCTCCCAACCGCCAAGGAGACCGCCCAGGTGGTCCTGGAACACGTCTTCCGGATCCACGGACTGCCAAAGGATGTAGTTTCTGACCGTGGTCCACAATTCTCCTCCGCTTTTTGGAAGGAGTTCTGTCACCTGCTGGGAGCCACAGTCAGTCTGACTTCCGGATTCCATCCCCAATCCAATGGGCAGTCAGAGCGGGCTAATCAGGAGCTCGAGAAGGCACTGCGATGCATGACTTCACGCAACCCCCACTCCTGGTCGCAGCAATTGACATGGGTGGAGTACGCACACAATTCTCTGACCTGCTCTGCCATCGGTATGTCCCCTTTCCAATGTGTTTATGGTTACCAGCCTCCTCTATTTGCCAGCCAGGAAGAGGAGGTTACTTGCCCATCTGCACTTGCTTTTGCCCGTCGATGTCGCCGCACCTGGTCACGAGCCCGAGCCACACTCCTCAGATCCGTTGCCAGCTACACTACCGGGGCCAACCGTCGGAGAATTCCTGCTCCCACCTACCATGTTGGTCAAAGGGTGTGGTTGTCATCGAAGAACCTGCCACTCAGGGTGGAGTCGCAGAAGCTGGCACCTCGGTTCATTGGCCCATTCCCTATCATAAGAGTGATTAGCCCAACTGCTGTCCGGCTCCAACTGCCTAATTCCCTGAGGGTGCACCCCACTTTCCATGTGTCTAAGATTAAGCCCATCCATGAGAGTCCGCTGGTCCCTGCTGCGCCTTGTCCTCCTCCTCCACGGCTCGTCGATGGTGGTCTGGTTTACACCGTCCGCCGCCTGCTTCGGTCCAGACGGAGGGGTAGGGGTCTCCAGTACCTCATTGACTGGGAGGGCTATGGACCTGAGGAAAGGACCTGGGTGCCAGCTAGTCGGATTGTGGATAGGACTCTCATCACCGCTTTCCACCAACGGCATCCTGATCAACCTGCAATCCGTAGGGGCCGCCCCAGAGGGGTCCCTAACCGTCCTGCCCGCTCGGCTTCCTGTCCTGTGCCTGATCCTGTCTCGGGACCTGTCCCATCTCCCGACCACGGCCCTCCGGCTTCCTCCGAGGATGAGGACGTTCACTCGGACCGTTCGGAGGAGTTCTAGCCCTCCTCCGGCTCCCCTCCTCCCGCCCGGCGTGGTGTTGCTCTTGGGACTTCTGGGGCCGTCCCTTGGGGGGGGGGTTCTGTCATGAGCCTCTCACTCCACCGGGTTACCACCTTAATTTTCTTCCACTCTGCTCACCACTCTCTCTACTCAGCCTAACTAGCTCCACCTGTCCTTGCTCTGCTCTGCTCTAATTACTCTGCCAGCTGCGCTGCATTACCCACTACCTCTCCCAGTATTTAAGGCCCTGTCTTTCAGCTCTCCGGTGTCAGATCGTCTGCAAAGCTCACACCCGGAACCTGTTTGCTCGCGCTTCTGGCTCACCCTGGTTTTGTGACCCCGGACCTGCCTGATTTTTGGATACTCTTCTGCCCCAGGAGATCCAGACCTGCTTCTGCCATTACGACTCCTGACTACTCTTCTATCCCGGTAACTCTGACCAGCCTTCTGCCTTGCTACTACGTATTTTGGATTTCCCTTGAACTGTACTGCTGCCTTGTTTCATTCCGCCCTGTTGTGTCTGTGTCTCCCCCCCCCCCAGGACTTCTGGACCACCCACCACCGGCTTCATAGGACGCATCGCTGCCACTGGGGGAGGCACAGACCCAGCACATTGGACGGGATCCCTGTTACCCCTGGAGCCTTCATTCACTCCCTACTTCCCTTTTCCCTTAAGTTTTAATAAACTTTCTGGTGTGACGCAATTGTGGTCCTCTGGTCGTCTGTCTGAACCGTGACAAGGACATGTGCTTATTGGACCAGTATAGTTAGGCCCTGTCCAGAACCCCCCCCCCCCTCCCTAGGCACTTGTGTAGAACTGAAACAACTTGATAGGTGTAAGCAATAGGGTGACTGCACTTTGAAGTAAATCTCAGCTCTGTTAAAAGTACATTCAAGAAAATATGTTATTGATCATAGTGATTCAGGAGTATCATTAAAACAAGTTCATATGCGCACCAACTATACAGAACGCCCTTCAATTGCTGAAATAAGTAAATCAAATCAATGATGAGAATAGTCAGATGAACGGATACCTGACATGAACATGGTGCCGTAGCAGGAAGATCAGAGTACCATGCACCAAGAGGTTGTGAGTTCAAATCCCAGGTGAGGAATAATGGTTACTGTATAAATAAATATGCACAATGTAATCAAATATGTAAGTTGAAAACAGTGTATGTTAAAAGCACTGTGTGTGTGAATATCCCTAACGTTGCCAACAAACAAAGAGCTATGAATGTATCAGTGGTTCACCAATCAGGCCCTTGATTGGCTCGGCAACAAGACGTGATGGGTAATACATTTTTCTTTGGACACATCAATGTTCCCATGAAACGTGTCTAGAACATTAATATCTTATGTTCTGAGAAGATGGCAACCATGGTCTGTGTATGTTTGGTGGGACGTTGATGGAATATTCTCCTAACCCACAGAAAACTGGATACATGAATGTTCTTGCAACATTCTCATTTAACGCGTCTAGAACATTAATATCTTATGTTCTGAGAACATTTGACATTAAAGGAATGGTCTCTTGGAAATATTCCTTGCACATCATGGGAACATTTCCGTGAAAACGTTAGTTAAGGACCTAATGAGACTCTTAAGGGAATGTTCTCTAAAGTTCTGGGAACGTTTGTTCTTAGCTGTGATCTTCGCATTTTGGCTCCCTTCCACATTTCAACATGCAGTGATTACCAGTGTACCACAGATACTTATGCTATAGGGTACCTACAGTATAGGTTCTTAAAAGGTCTATAGGAAGTATCTGTGACTGTGCCGTATGGTGGTTTGGTGCAGTGGTTTCCACACACATCACGTACCTCCTCCTTGGTTTTCTTGGAGATGACTCTGAACCAGTCTCCTATCATACTGAGCACGGCAGCAAAGTAGGCTAAACCAATCAGGATCCAGAACCACACCACAGGCTTGTAGTAGTCCAGATACTCTATCTCAGAACCACCTATAGGGAGGAGACAAACACACATTTAATAAAGAATATACAAGCTTTTAGTGATATCACACCTCTAGCCAGAGAGAAGAAAAGAGAGGGGGAGACAGAGAGAGAGGAGGAGAGAGAAGGAGAGAGAGGCTATGCCACACAGAGTATTGATTATTGATCTTCTACTGTGAAGAAGGGGACAGAAATCACGTTTTGTCTCAGTAGATTTAGCACAAGTGTGATTTCAAACTAAACCTTTTTAAGACAAATAAGGGTGGATAGGAGAGGGGGATAGGAGAGGGAGAACATACAACATTGTCAGAAAAGATAGCTCTTAAATACCTTTTTCAAGACCTTTTTCACCGGCCACAAAGTCGCCGAAGCCGATGGTGGTGAGGGTGATGACCACAAAGTAGATGGACTCCAGCGTGCTCCAGCCCTCTATGTGTTTAAAGATGACCGCCGGCAACGCCACGAAGAGGACACAGCCAAACAGGATGAAGATCACCGTGGAGATCACCCTGATCTTGGTCTGGCTCACTTTCCACTTCTGAGGGAGAGACTGGGAGGCATGGTAGAATAGATCAACACATTAATAAAGAGATGGATAAAGAAATGAATAAATAAACGTGGTAATGGAATGTATGACATAATTAACATTTGAAAACAGTACAAAAACATCCAGGGCTCTATTTTAACAAACCTAACGCAATTCTTTAAATAGCCTGCCCCATATTTGCTAAATATGCTGAACATGTTTGCAGTCCACATTTTTCTAATTGCATTGCTTCAATATGGAAATCCATTGTTAAACATAGGCTATAGCATTCACACTGATATAGGGGCTAGGCCTACTGTAATTTGTAGTTTGGACATGGACGTGCCAAATATAGTCAATAGGTAAGATTCAATTCACTAGGCTATTGATAAGGACTAAAAAGACAGTGTATAATTCTTATCAAATTCTAATAAAACGAAACAACAACTTGTTTTAAACAGGGTATGTCTAAATACAGTAACAGGCACCATAATTGCTCCTCGTGGATGTATAATACAGACAAGGCAACTTAGACAATGGATGGTTTATGCACATCCCAACCTTTCAAAGGAGCTGCATGGACAAAAATAATGTCCAAAATAAAGAAAAAGCAGGAATGTATGTTGACTGTTTTGCTGCTCGTGATATTTTAATAAAAGATTGGTTATAGGCTACTGATTAGGCAAAATCGATGCCATAATCAATTGCGTTACCGCTAAGACCAGCTTTTGGTGAGTCTTAAATATCACCAGTAGCACTGCTTGAAATTGGAACATGTTTCTAAGGACACAGCTCAAATATTTCCACCCTTCCCACGAGCTGATATAAGACAGTTAAATTACCAACCCTGGCGCCAGGGTTGGAAAATAGCAAAGCTCTGGCTTTTACATATCGAAATTGCCAAGGAGCGTGCATTTGACACTAGCACCGCCTTAACGCCAGCCGAAAATAGAGCCCCCAGTCTTTAACAAGGCCTTTTTCCAGTCACTTCACAATGAGATGAGTCATTTCCTTGTGTTGGCATTTTTCCTGGAATAAATGTTCAGTGTTTTGAATGTCACACACACAGTGGGTCTGCCAATGAGCTTTACTGACATCATGTTCCTTACAGACCATGTCATACTGTATGCCATCAGGCTATACATCATTACATCAGCAGGCTACATCGCAGTCGCCAGACAAAGTTTAATTCAAACCCATAGAAAGACATGTGTAACATGGGCTCCCAAGTGGCGCAGAGGTCTAAGGCACTGCATCTCAGTGCTTGAGGCATCACTACAGACCCCCTGGTTCAATTCCAGGCTTTATCACAACCGGCCATGATTGGGAGTCCCATAGGGCGGTGTACATTTACGTCATTTAGCAGACGCTCTTATCCAGAGCGACTTACAGTTAGTGCATACATTATTTTATTTTTTTTCATAATTTTTTCATACTGGCTCCCCATGGGAATCGAACCCACAACCCTGGCGTTGCAAACGCCATGCTCTACCAACTGAGCTACCTCCCTGCCGGCCATTCCCTCCCCTACCCTGGGCCAATTGTGCGCCACCCCATTGGTCTCCCGGTTGCGGCCGGCTACAACAGAGCCTGGATTCGAACGAGGATCTCTAGTGGCACAGCTAGCACAGCGATGCAGTGCCTTAGACCACTGCGCCACTCGGGAGGTGTAGGCCGTCATTGTAAATAAGAATTTGTTCTTAACTGACTTGCCTAGTAAAATAAAATAAATAACAGGGGTATGACAGTCTGTAGTACTAGTAAACCTTCTTAATACACTGAAGTGTACACTCCACGATAGAGTCCTTGTCCTTCCCTAGACAGTGGGTTACACAAGCATGAGAACAGGGCCTGTGGGACTGAGTCATCCTCAGATCAGCTCATCAGTGATGTGTTCCACTGTGTTTTACAGCACACAGCAGCTAGAGCCCAGAGAGAGACAGAGGGAGAGGTCAGAGTCAGGACTGAACCCTATAGGTCCAGCCTTGGGCCCTGACAATAAATGTTGATACGGAGGGAATAATTATGATTTATTTAACCAGGTAAGACCCATTGAGGTTAAAAACCTATTTTGATGAATGATGATGAATAGACCATAGCCGCTTGCCAAGCATAATATACTGTATATTTCACAGCTCACTGGCATAAAAAAATACCTAGAGTCGATTGATGTGCCTGCGCGTCACACGTGACATAATTTTAAAACATTGAATAGCTCCCGTGTTTTTATGAGACTTACCGTTTCTCGCGGGGCAGCTGGTAGTTTAGGGGTTAAGAGCGTTGGGCCAGTAACTGGAAGGTCGCTGTTTTGAATCCTGAGCCAACTAAGTGAAAAATCTGTCAATTTGCCCTTGAGCAGGGCACTTAACCCTAGTCGCTCTGGATAAGATCGTACAGTGGGGAAAAAAAGTATTTAGTCAGCCACCAATTGTGCAAGTTCTCCCACTTAAAAAGATGAGAGAGGCCTGTAATTTTCATCATAGGTACACGTCAACTATGACAGACAAATTGAGGAAAAAAAATCCAGAAAATCACATTGTAGGATTTTTAATGAATTTATTTGCAAATTATGGTGGAAAATAAGTATTTGGTCACCTACAAACAAGCAAGATTTCTGGCTCTCACAGACCTGTAACTTCTTCTTTAAGAGGCTCCTCTGTCCTCCACTCGTTACCTGTATTAATGGCACCTGTCTGAACTTGTTATCAGTATAAAAGATACCTGACCACAACCTCAAACAGTCACACTCCAAACTCGACTATGGCCAAGACCAAAGAGCTGTCAAAGGACACCAGAAACAAAATTGTAGACCTGCACCAGGCTGGGAAGACTGAATCTGCAATAGGTAAGCAGCTTGGTTTGAAGAAATCAACTGTGGGAGCAATTATTAGGAAATGGAAGACATACAAGACCACTGATAATCTCCCTCGATCTGGGGCTCCACGCAAGATCTCACCCCGTGGGGTCAAAATGATCACAAGAACGGTGAGTAAAAATCCCAGAACCACACGGTGGGACCTAGTGAATGACCTGCAGAGAGCTGGGACCAAAGTAACAAAGCCTACCATCAGTAACACACAACGCCGCCAGGGACTCAAATCCTGCAGTGCCAGACGTGTCCCCCTGCTTAAGCCAGTACATGTCCAGGCCCGTCTGAAGTTTGCTAGAGTGCATTTGGATGATCCAGAAGAGGATTGGGAGAATGTCATATGGTCAGTTGAAACCAAAATATAACTTTTTGGTAAAAACTCAACTCGTCGTGTTTGGAGGACAAAGAATGCTGAGTTGCATCCAAAGAACACCATACCTACTGTGTAGCATGGGGGTGGAAACATCATGCTTTGGGGCTGTTTTTCTGCAAAGGGACCAGGACGACTGATCCGTGTAAAGGAAAGAATGAATGCGGCCATGTATCGTGAGATTTTGAGTGAAAACCTCCTTCCATCAGCAAGGGCATTGAAGATGAAACGTGGCTGGGTCTTTCAGCATGACAATGATCCCAAACACACCGCCCGGGCAACGAAGGAGTGGCTTCGTAAGAAGCATTTCAAGGTCCTGGAGTGGCCTAGCCAGTCTCCAGATCTCAACCCCATAGAAAATCTTTGGAGGGAGTTGAACGTCTGTGTTGCCCAGCGACAGCCCCAAAACATCACTGCTCTAGAGGAGATCTGCATGGAGGAATGGGCCAAAATACCAGCAACAGTGTGTGAAAACCTTGTGAAGACTTACAGAAAACATTTGACCTGTGTCATTGCCAACAAAGGGTATATAACAAAGTATTGAGAAACTTTTGTTATTGACCAAATACTTATTTTCCACCATAATTTGCAAATAAATTCATTAAAAATCCTACAATTTGATTTTCTGGGAAAAAAAATCTCAATTTGTCTGTCATAGTTGACGTGTACCTGTGATGAAAATTACAGGCCTCTCTCATCTTTTTAAGTGGGAGAACTTGCACAATTGGTGGCTGACTAAATACTTTTTTTCCCCACTGTATGTCAAATGTAAAAAATGTCTTGCTGCAGCTCAATCCCCTCTTTCTGCCTTTTCCATAACATGGGGCTTGTGAAACAGGATCCGGACAAAGAAATTGTCTGTAAAACTCAAACAGTTTGAGCTTGCAACTCATACTACCCCATCTTCGAAAGATTAGACTCTCACGAACTCCCACAAGCTTTACAGTGTCTGAACTTTCAGACGCCCACGTCCTAATTTCAAAGATGTCTTCTTACAAAACTGACTGTCCAGACCAAGCTACAAACTAATAAGTCACCAACATCGACAGGTAAGACTTTCAAAAACATTTAGCCCTCGCTTGTTTGCTCTACGACACACACAAGCTTTAGGGGAGTCTTTAGAAGGTAACCCAGTACCACACTGTACAAACGTCACAAAAGTGAATAGGGTGTAAAAAGTGCCATATCGTAAAACTTAAATGAATAGCCTGGGTGTTTATTTGCTTAAATCACTGAACACAACAGGGGCTTATTAGAGACAGGCTTCTATATGAGCCAGGCGTCTATGTCCTTAATGCACATAGCTTTTGCTCATTTGCATTGTTAATTGTTTAATTCCAGCATTCACTTCCAGCATTTTAATCAATTTCTTAATTTCCTGCACTAATGTGGTATCATTTACACAATGTGTCACGTTTCTTTTGACTTAATATGCCTCTATTTTGGGAGAAATAAAACTTCCTTGACAGAATAATTATTCTCAGCTTTGACTTTGCATTTTCGCCGGTTCTTACTTTTGCCACTAGAAGGCGATCAGCCTATTTCTGGGGGTCTGTACTCCCGAAGTTGTGGACTGTTTTTGTGCTTGCCAGTTAGCTGTAAGCAGCCAATGGCAAGCAGTTTCTTACTGAATTACATTACTTAATTATTTAATGTAACAATTCAAACATTAAACTTCGTAAACAATTCATGGTAACCTCGTAAACAATTAATTTAGACTCAGCGTTTATTTGAAACAGACACTTCAAATCCTTATTCCTTATTTTGTCTGTTTTGCCATTTAAG